CGCCGCCTCTCGCCTCGCCGTTCCGCACTTTGACCCTGCTGCGCCCTGCACCAGGGGCTGCGTGGCCGAAGGGGCCCGGTCCCTGAGCTCCTGCTGGGCCAGGCGAGGGTGCACATCGCCCGCTGTGGGCTGAACTGTGTGCCCCAGAAAGATGAGCTGAAGTCCTGACCCCGGTGCAGGGGTGCGCGACCTCTTTTAGAACTGGGGTCTTTGCCGATGTAATGGAGGTGAGACGAGGTCATGCGGGATCAGGGTGGGCCCCGAGTCTGGGGCTGGTGTCCTTTTAAGGGGACTTTTGGATACACAGATGCATACAGAGGGAGGGAAAGACAGGAGGGGGAGGGGCGTGCCGAGACTGAAGGGATGCAGCTGTGAGCCAAGGAGTGCCAAGGCGTGTCGGCCACCACCAGCATGAGGGGAAGGCAGGGAGGATCCTTCCCTAGTGCCTTCCAGGGAGCACAGCCCAGGGACGCCTGGATCCTGGACTCCCAGCCTCCAGAACGTAAGACGCTGCATTTCTGTTGTTTGGAGGCAGCCAGCCTGTGGCAGACCGTGGCAGCAGCCCTGGGAGACTGACTGAGCCAATGTGCCTTGGCTGCAGGGCTGGGGGGGGGGGGGGGGGGTGTCCTGGCCTTGGGTCTGAGCCCCGGTCCTACCTCCTTCTCTAGCCTCCGTTTCCTTAACTGTAGAATATGGGTGATAAGCTGGGCACAGTGGCGCACACCTGTCATCCCAGCACTTCGGGAGGTGGAGGCTAGAGGATTACCTGAGCCCAGGGTTTCGAGACCAGCCTGGGCAACTTGGCAAGACCTCGTCTCTACAATAAATTTGTAAAAGTTAGCCAGGTATCGTGGTGTGCGCCTGTGGTTCCAACTGCTTGGAAGGCTGAGGCGGAAGGATTGCCTGAGCCCAGCAGGTTGAGGCTGCAGTGGCTGAGAGCATGCCTCTGCACTCTAACCTGGGGGACAGCGTTGAGATTCTGACTAAAATAATAATAATAATAATACAGGTAATAAGACCGACCACACAGGTTGGCTCTAGAGGTCAAATAATTCAGGAAGGAAGGAAGGTTTGTCAAGTGCCAGCAACCCCCAGATGTCATTGTGTAGGATCCACGGGGGTAGTCAGGGGACTGGACCCACTGGGGTGTTTGTGTCTGAGAAACCCTCTCTGTCACACACAGGTTCCCTCAAACCCACTCCAAAAGCCAGCTCCTCCCGGAAGTCCTCCCAGGAGATGATCTCCTGACCTGACACCACTCAATACATTGCACAGCGATTCTAGTCAGCCTGGTCTAGCATCACCTGTGGCACATCTGTCTGCCCCAGGGGGCCCCACCACGATCTCATTTCTACACTCCCCTCCCTGACACATGGCCTCAAGCACAGCCGGCCACAGCCTTGGGTCATTCCTTCACTCAAGGGCACACATGCCTTTGTACAATAATCCAGGCTGACCTATCCACCCGCCGCTTGTTTACTTGTCGCTCATTCATGCCTGAACACCCATGTCTACAACTAACTCATCCACCCCTGCGTCCGTCTGTCCTGCCAGCATCCATCTGCACATCTGTCGTCTGCCCACCCACAAACACACCCACCTATCTATAATTAATTTTTTTTTTGAGTCGGAGTCTCACTCTGTGGCCCAGGTAGGAGCGCAGTGACACAATCACAGCTCACTGCAGTCTCGATCGACCTGCTGGGCGCAGTCAATCCTTCCACCTCAGCCTCCTGAGCAGCTGGGACTACAGGCATACATCCCCGTGCCCTGCTAATTTTTTGTACAGATGAAGTCTCGCTATGTTGCCCCGGCTGGCCTTCAACACCTGGGCTCAAGCCATCCTCCCTCCTCGGCCTCCCAAAGTGCTGGGATTACAGGTGTGGGTCACCGCGCCCGGCCCACCTGCCGACCTCAACACGCAGCTGGATGCCCGAGTTCCCCGCCCGCCCTGGGGCCCTGCCAGCACCTACCTCTCTCCAGGTCCATCAGGTAGTTGGGGGCGAGCTCGATGGATGAGCAGTTCCAGCGCATGTCAGCAAAGGCCCTGCGGCAGGTTTTCATGGCCTGGCGTGCCGCGTGCACCACCGTGTGCATGAGCTCCAGGTTGCTGCGGCACAGCTGCACCTGGGCCGACACCAGGCCCTCCAGCTGCTTGCAGTGCTGCGTCTTGTTCAGCGCCAGTGCCGCCGGTGTCTTGGCCAGCGCCCTGAACGCCGCGGAAGGCCAGACCGAGGGAGGGAAAGAGGACCGTGAGGGGCCGCCGCTCGCCCTGCCGGGCTGGGCCTGCCCCTCGTAGACTCCGAGAGCCCTTCCGGAAGGAGCCAGGGTGCTGAGTGTCACGTGGCAGACCCACAGACCGCCCCCACGGCTGTGTGGCTTTGAGCACATCACTGTCCTTCTCTGAGCCTTAGGCGTTGTTTCTCACATCGGATGGCAGCCTCCCTTCTACCTAAGCTTTATGGTAATCATACTCACAAAATCAGTTTCACAGTTGACAACACAATCACGTCCACTGCCTGATTTAGTTCTCACACAGCTGTAAATTATTAGTCTTTATTCAACATTCACTCAACGCTGAGCAGCCATGTGCCAGAAACCATGCTAGATGTTGGATTCTTATAATCATGGTAATTATACGTATTATTAATTGAGCCTTTACTATATGCACAGCATGAATGAGACGTCTTCCATCATTGTTTCATTCAGGATTACTAAGCCCATTTATTATGTTGTAGAGTTCCACATTCGTGCAAGAGATTGCTATTAAAGGATTAAAGAAGCACTCCGTTTTATGACGATGTGGAACTTGGAACATTTAGTATCTAATCCAGACTTGGCCATTAACTTGCTTTGTGACCGTAGATAAATCAATGCCCCTCTCGGGCCTCAGTGTCTGTACCTCTCAACCGTATTTCCCAGAATGGGTTCCAGGGAGATACTCTGAAAAAAGGATTCCATTCGGGAAACCCCCTTGGAGAGTCGTGACGCACAGTTACGTTTTAAGGGTCCCGAGAAGTCCTGCAGCAGAGCAACAGGCTTGGTTTTGCTTAACTCAGAGAGCCTGCTGAGCATATGGTGCACCAAGCCCTTTGCTTGAGGAGAGCCGACCTCACATGCTTTGGGAAGTGCTGGCTTAGGGGGTTTCTATGAACCCTGGTGATGTTCTAGGACCCAAGATGCTTCCTGGCTCTGGGCACTGGAATCCCATGACTCTAGAACCTGGTGCATGCTGGATTTTCCGTTTGCCTGCGCCTTCTCTGAGGAGCCAAGGCAGCTGGCAGTACTTCCCCAAGCTCAGGCTGGAAGGACCCCACAGTCCTAAAGGACTCTGAGCCACCCACCCTACTGTGCCCCCATCCACAGCAGGAGGGCTTCTGGAAGCCAGCAGAGGCCAATCACAGCTACAGATGCCGAATGTCCTGCCTGCCGTGGCCCAGCCATCCTCAGCCAGGGTCAAGGCTGAGAGCGGGTGAGGTGCAAATCCCGCCCCCTGGTGCATCCTCGGGGAGGTGGCCCCACGCCAAGGGAGCCACACAGGCCTGGGTGGACTCCGGGCCCCAGCACGCCCCTGTGACCTTGAGAAGGTCATTTAACCTCTCCTCTCCCCCCAGTCTCACAGCAGTGTTGCGTGTCCTGCCCAGGCCAATGTGCCATGGTCAGTGCTCAGCGATGGATACTACACAATGGTGGCCTATTCCTACCTGCTGGCAGGCTCCCTGCACCCACTCAGCCAAGGCCAAGGGCTGCTACCTGACATTCAGGACCCCTCCAAGCCTGGCCTCTCAGCTCTCCCCAGCCTCCTGTCCTCATCCTAATATCTGGCCACACTAGGCTCCCGACTTCTCTCACAGGGACCGTCCTGCCACTAGGCCTTGGCCCGTGCTTTTCCTGATGCCAGGAACACCCTGCCCTCTGCTCCTGTACCCGAATGACTAAATGAACTTGATCTCCTTATGGAAGAACCATTCATCAAGCACCAACTCTTCCCAGATTCGCCTGGCGATGAACATGATCCCTTCTTCAGGGATCCCCTATTTAATGGCTGGAGAAACCCAGCAACAGTTATAAGTCTATGACCCAGCTGTTTGAGCTCCTGGGTTGGCCCAGGAAGGACCACAAGCTTTGGCTGCCAGCTGCATGACCCAGGTAAGTTTCCCAACCTCTCTGGACCGCACCGTCCTCGTCTGTTAGAAAGAAATGATAATTATTATTTCAAAAGGCGATGGTGAGCCTTAAATAATGTCATAAGTGCAAAGCATAGGGGACATTCACGGGTGAGCTTCTCTGCTCGTTGCCCAGTGACTCTTGGACCGGAGGGAGTGAGAAGGCCTGGCTGTGCAAACTTGGGCAAGTTGCTGTCCCTCTCTGAGCATCAATTATGAAGCAGGGACCCCCAAAGGGCATGGCCTGGAGTCTGCGTTAGGGGCAGCACAGCCCAGCCTGTCTGAGATCAACTGTCCGGGTCCTGGCTGTCTCCTGCGACCCTGGCCATCCCCACCCCCCCACGCTATGAGCAGGGCAATGTTGGGTGTGTCTAAACACCAGCGCCCAGCCTGGGCGGGCCACACCACAGACCTCAGACACGGTTTCTTGATCCCAACTGCACTATTCTGCCCTCCCTGGCCTTGCCTTCTCGAGAACCTGTGGTCCGAATCCCTGCCGCCAAACTGGGTGGGCTTTGGCCACACAAAGGTGGATGTCATCACCTCCATGTGTTTCTCGGCTGTTAACAGCCCCTCCGCCAGCATCCAGTGAAGGCTGTTCGCATAGGCGGGGCTGTCGTGGGGTAGCTGCCCCGACGGACACACCACTTCCCAGCTGTGGACCACACTGCTGTTCCCCTTTGTCTAGATGAGGACACTGAGGCAGGGCCAGGGGCTGTGCTCACCCAGCGCCCCCGGCAAGCGGAGTCATCCCTTCCTGTGAGACCGCCACTCCCTGCGGGGTGTGACCTCCCCTTCCTGGGCCGCCCTCGGCCGTGTTCTGGGTTCACACTAGACTGTTCCGAGCCTGCCTGCCCTTTACCCTGGCCCAACTTTGTCCCCTTCCCCTCAGAGCCAGTTTGCCCCGTTCTCAAACGAGGATTACATGAACGACAGCTAGTTCACAGGCGACACATGGCAGGTGCGCCAGGGGCATTCGGGTGGCGTGGGTGCCTCCCACGTCCTCTCCCTGGCTTCAAGCCTCTTCCTGGAGGCTGAGTTCGGGCAGTTCTCAGGTGCCGAGTGCCCTGCCCCATGGGGAAGGGAGCTCTGTGCTTCTGGTGCCTCGGGCCCTGACACCACAAGGCCGCAGCCTCCCCAGCTGGCTGAGAGAGGAGGGGCTGGAAGGGCGCCTCCCAGATGAGGCTCCGACTCCACAGGCAGCCAGAGGATCCACAGGAAACTGTTCTGGAGGCACCCGGTGGGGCAGGGCAGTGCCGAGGCCCAGGGACCTGCCCCTGGAGGCCGCGAGCTGGGGGCTGGTCTGGGAGCGGCCAGCCGTGGAGGCGGGGAGGCCCGCCCACGGGCACACAGGCGGGAGGCTACAGACTTCACTCCCGGGGAGGGCCATGCGGTCATCTGGTAATTAGTGGTAATGACCATTTCTAACTAAATCCCCCTTGGGGAGGTAATCAAGGATTAGGCAGGAGGCGGGGGAGTCGGCCGTGTGGACATCCCGGCTGCCTCACTCCGGCAGACCCTTAATTGGAAACATTTCGGTTTATCTGGGGAAGGGGGTCTGGGGAGAGGGTGGAAGAAAGGACAGGAGGGGACACAGAGTTCACAGGCGAGGCCTGTGCCAAGGCTTCTGCTGGGGTGGCGTGGCCTCTTCTCATTCAGGAGGAGGGGGGCTCCCGAGACTGGCTGGAGCAGAGACTGGGTTCAAGCCGTAGCTCGGCCGTTCACGCCCCACGTGACCTTGGCCAAGTCACTGCCCCTGGCCCTGCCTCAGTTTCCCCATCCATAGTGCTCAATGCCCATGAGCATCACAGGCTCCCGTGTGGAGAACACTGTAGGGTAAAACAAGCTGGCACGTGATGTCACATCCCCTCCATCCCCCCCACAGCCCGAGGCACAGGTGGGCTCATTGCCATCTGTTTACCAGTCTCCTCACTGTCCACCCCCACCACCCTCCCTGAGGGGCCTCCCCGTGTTGCCACGAGCCCCACCCCTGGGGCAGTTCTAGGTTACCTGGCCGGTGAGGCCATTTCCTGAGAAGGGTCTCCTTCCCAGCGTCCCTCTCCCGCTAGGCACAGGGGTCAGCCACATGGGGAATTCCAGTCAAAGACCTTGCTCCTTGGGCCCCAAGGTTTCTCTCTGTAGCCTGCCGTCCAGCTACTCTTGGGGCTGGATGCTGTCACCCACTCATCCTCACCAGGCAACTCTTTGGCAGGGCTGGGCTCAGACGGCCTCTGAGGGTGCCCCCACCAGCACCACCCAGAACGGGAGCTGGTGCTCCCACCCAGGGAGAGAGCTGGCATGAAGGCAACAGGTGGTGGTGGGATCGATCCTGACATTTCCAGAATCAGCAGGACCTGGTCAGGGCTCGGAGCCCACCAATCTCGTCTTGGGAAGCCCATGGTTCTGCCTCTGTGGGCCCTACGAACCCTGGGGTGGGAGAGCAGTGAAGTCTGAGGAAACACTGTTCCCCAGGCCAGATCTCTGCCCACCCCTGCCTATGTCCCTGTAGGCTTTCTGGTGCCCGTGTGGCATGGAAGATGGAGCCGGGAACTGGGTTCTAGGCCCTCCAGGCAAGCCCAGTCTCTCTGGGCTTCCATCTATTCCTCTGGGGCAGCCTTGGGGAACCCTCCCTCCATGAGAAGCCATGGCTGCCAGTTATGCCCAGGTCTTAGGGACCAGGGCTCCTCAGAATTGCCACTCCTTGACTCAGTCACCCAGGCTTGGGCTGCAGCTTCAGGGAAAGAGAAGCCCAAGAGAGAGTCCTCCATTCCCTCTGGGGTTTTGTCCCAGGACTCCAGAGTGAAGAGGGACAAATCCAGCTCCTTTCCCCTGCTGTCTAGATGGGGAAACTGAGGCTGGCAAAGGGCCTGGAGCCCGTAGATCCAGTCCTGCCCTTCACATCCAAGACTGCCCAGGCCTCAGAGCCAGAAGCCTGCCCACCTGGCCTCACACATGCCACGGCCCTGTGTGTCTCATCCGGCAAGGCAAGGCCCGGTCCCCACTTACCAACAAGAAGCTGAAGGGGCAGCTTCCACAGACTTCCTACTCCCATTGTGCAAATGGGGAAACTGAGGCCCGGAAAGGGCAGGACTTGCCCAGACCAGTGCATGCCATCAGAGTGAGAGCCCAGTCAGACCCCAGGCCTCCCAGGTCCCAGGCCAGGGCTCTTTCTACCCAACTTTAGAGCTGAGGAGGCTGAGGCTCCGAGTGGCTAAAGCGATTTTC